TACTGGGCCGAGCGTACCTTGGAAATGAGTGTCGTCGACCCCACCTTACTGTTCTGATTCAGGCTGAGTCGGCTCTTGATGAACTTCCGTGCGCGATCGACAACTTGAGTCCGGACCTTTACCGTCAGACGCTTCTGGTTGGGCAAGACCACTTTCTTCATCTTGACGTAGGTAGGCAGCTCCCACACCCACCTTCCACCGATCTGAACCCGACGCTTCTTGTGGACCACGGAAAAGCATGCAAGACCCCTGGCATCTTGTACTTGTATGCACGAGCGCTGTCGGAGTGCAGCAACACCTGCTTGTCCTTGAGCCATTGGTCGGCGATCGGCTTCCAATCGCATTTCTTGATGGGACCAGGTCCCGGTGAGCGTGGCTTTGTGGGCCTTAGCTGTTTGGAACCGTCATCATAACAATTCAATCGCAAGCAGCCTAGCATCACGTGACATAACACTCAGTTTATACAAGATGCTGCGGAGAGAGGCGGATCAAAACCAGCGACTCCGGCTTGCCGCGCTGGACCATGCCGACCCACTGCTCCCACATCATCGTCTTCGCCGGCGAGAACGCTTCCTCCAAGGGAATCAGCTTCTTGTCGAAGACGGACTCGTCCACCTCCACGTCCTGCCACGCATTCTTCTTGCCGCCGAACGTCATACTCTTCAGGGTTTTCTCCACATAGCTCTTTCGAAGGAGGCATAGATTGTGATCCATACGTTCGATGGCCTTATGGTTCACATCAGTGACGAGGTGTATGGAGCTCAGAGGGACGTTGGCCAGACGTAGAAGTAGCACTGCGGCTTGCGTGCCTAGCGAGTGTCCTTCAGGACCGCGCGTGGCAGTGAATAGCGGATGTAGATGCTGTGGAGTAATGTACTTCTGGCATCCGAACCGTCGGCACCGACAACGGGGCAGTCCATTACAAGATCTCGTCTGCAATGGGCCGACTTTGCCTTTGGAACAGAAAGGGCAGATGGCACCCTCCCAGGTAGGCATCAGGCCATCATTCATCAGGACCTCGACGGCATCCTTCTCGGTCAGAGAGGACAGGTACTGGCTGGTGCGCGTCCACTTCAACCGGTCC